AACATCCCGGTCAAAGCCTTAATGTTAGTAAAACGAGAGCTAATCTCCTTGTTAATATTTTTAACGATTTAAAATTTTTTGTTAACTTATGTGAAACGGTTCTAACTCGATGTTTTAGAGAATGTAGTTTGGTTACTGTTGGTTCCGTAAATAATACACGTCCTTTTGCTAGATGTGGAACATCAAAATATACAATTTGCAATGATACAGATATATTTTAATTTGTTTTTGCCTTTCACACGTAATTGGCCATTTAAATGTTGATGCAGCTCGCTAAATTAAAATAAATCTGAATGGAGTTGAACCGAATTACTATTATAGGTCGAAATTTTCGTATTGAATTTCTACCAAATCGGAACGCAAGACTGATTGAGTTACTTTTCCTTCATCAAGGTGGCTACAGAATCACAGTACAATTGACTTTGTTTTTTGAAACCGAAACAGGTTCTTTGAAACGGGTTATAAATCAGAATAGGTTAAATATTTGTAAATGCATTAACCCTAACTTCGAATACCTGGGTTCAATCCCAGAGGATTAGAAGTACGTTTTATGTTCAGTTTTTCGTGCTGATAATAACTTTTCCATTCCCTTAAAGGCATCATGAAACAGCAGATTTTCTTATATTTGGTCATAGGTTACGGGTTTAAGCTTTTACTCGCCACAAGAGTGGATTCTGAGTAAAGGCATTTCAGATTCGTAATTAACACTTGGTATTCACTGGTACAGAAATAGTATACATTGACATTTACGTCGATATATTTAAAAAAAGAGAGGAGAATCTGGATGTAATTCTCAAATACGCAAACAGTTTTTCGAAGCGAGGACTTATTCGTTTGATAAAATGAATAATAATATTATATTGGCGGTCGGCTGGTAGGTTTCCAGTAGGCCGTGCCTGAGTGCGCGTGTGTATACGCTGAACAGGCGAGGATTCTAGGCGACAGTGCCACTACCCTGGGAGGAGCAGGTTGCATCGAGAGAGACAAAGGGGAAGGATGGATGGATGAATTCTGTGATGCGACTGCGCTACAGAAAATCAATGCCCAGCAGCCTCCCAACTATCTGTTCCGAAAACATAGTGCTGTTGAACAAGTGTGGCACGAACGTACACCAGCCGTGGTGAGTTATCGGAGTTTGAAAATGCGATATTTGCGTCCAAAAATTTCGAGTTTCGTAAACAACGCGCACATGAACAGATAAATTACTAAATAAAACAAACACATTTTTTCCAAGTTGCGTCTTCCTCGTTTCAGATTTAAGGTTTGCGGAATTCTTTCATGAAATATGTGTGAAGGACTGTGTTGTTACGCTGACTCAACTGGTGATGTTATACGTTACGTCGAATGGCATTGTACTAAAATGGTTTAGTATTACAGTGACGTAGAATGGATCGGAGGGAAAGTGCGATTGGTGACTGGACGACCAGGGTTCGATCCCCGACGGGGGCAGAGGATTTTTCCTCTAGCATCTGCGTCCAGACTGACTCTGGGGCCCACCCAGCCTCCTCTACAATGGCTACCGGGGTCCTTTCCCGGGGGTAAAGCCGGCCGGGGCGTGATGCTGACCACTCACCCCCATCTAGTGCCGAAGTTAAGAATTAATAGGAGCTATACTAACTCTCCCCCCAAGCGCCTACATGGCGTATAGTGGGACAGCTTTTTACCGTCAAAGTTTATGTATACTGATGATAGAATATTACTTAATCGTATGTCCTCATTATTACAAATGTTTGAGGTTATTATAAAACTTAGCTTTTGTTATTAGATTCTGAACAATCACGCTTCCACAACTCATCATGTTACGTGGTTATTCGTCTTTCATTCTGTCACATTTTGTACTGTTAACTCATAAATGTATGTGGTGTAGCTTAACCCATATAATTTTTCTCTCTGAATGAATGACTGAGAGTTTTTGTAATTTTCTCTCTTTCCTCCAGAAATATGTTGAAACAGTAGACATCGACTTCTGTGTCCTATCGAATTCATCAAAGCACACAGTCATCCTAAAATCCGATGTAATTTAACTTGTGAAGACGAGACAACTTCGTTTTATAAACCAACCGAAATTATGGCAAAGGTTTGAAAAAATGCTAATATTACGCAGCCCAGTTTATTTTACGTTAATCATCATACGAAATTTTTGTGTTATTTGTTTCAAATTTCTTGAGAGGACATGGATGTTCGACTACAGTAACATATCTGACAAACAACACCGAGCATTAACACAGCAGTGTAATATGAAATCTTGACGAGTTAATTTTAATAAGTCTGTTGGTTATATATGGGTCAAATTACATTCCTAATAGAGAGAAACACTTGTTTTGAATATATTGCCAGTTGATTATGTACAATTAATTTTATTTATAACCGGTATGAAGTTATATATTTCTGACGTCGCTTTGCAGATGGATCTACACTGGGTTAGAACGCGGGTCTGTAGGAATGGGCCTGGAACATCTATTATTTGCTTATGACAATGTCAGTAAGCAATGTGTCTTGAGCATAACTAGTATCCATGTTTAAATTACGAAAAAAATTCTATACATTTTCAAGTATTATGTGCCGGAATATAAATGCCAAGGGAGTAGCATTCTGCCAGCGCAGAAGCTGGAGACTGAAGTTTATAACACGAGACGTACGTGTTACCAGTTTAGAGGTTTTGTCTGTAGTAAGAGTGTGGAAGTTTCTCTACTTTCTACCTTCGTAATGTTAAGCCTATTTTAAGGTAAGTGTGAATTATTGGTCGTAAGAAAGCCTGAATAGCTCAGTCGTTAAAGCAGGTTGCTACGTGTGTATAAGCCTTTTAAAATTTTGTTCCTTTCACGATCAGATAAATTCTGGTTCTCTGCGGAGGTTGGAAAAAGGAGAGGTGTTTTTTCTAGGCTAGTGAGACCTCCATCTTGGCTGAAGTTACTCGTTATGTGTCTTCACAGAGGAATTTTATTAGGGGACATTACGATGTCAGACCTTGTTTCCAGATTTGGTTCTTAATTTCATAATCATTTTACTCGCTAAGGTAAGACTAAGGGATATTAAGACTAATTTTCAGGCTTACTGAAAATGAAGTAGGCTTGTGAAATCATCATGCTGTCTGCGTTGGTTTCAAACTGTGACCTTCTGATTCACTGACTGACTTTAACGAAATTTTAAAAGAAATTTATGCCACTAGAAGCTATCTGAATCTTGTACTTTACGTGTGAGGTTTAGGCGAGCCTGTGTCGTAGTAGTAGGTCTTCGAAAAATGTTTGAAAAAATATGGCGGCTATGCGAAGAATTTCGATTTGGCTTTCTAATTGATCTTTCGATGTCACAGTGACTTGTTGATGTTGATACTGCTGTTTTTTTTTGCGAAATGTGGAAGCGAGCTTAGTTTCCGACGTTTCAGAGGAACCTCCGGCCTCCATCATCAGAACTAGAGTGATGAGTGTTGTCTGACTAAATGGTTTGTCGGGATAGGAGTATCTTGCATTTGGTAGCAAGACTGTCTTTGATGACAGATTCAACACCA